ACTTATAAGTATTCATATAGTTATTAATAGTTATCTTTTGTGTGTATCTAAGTTTTTGGCTTTTGTTTATGAGACACATTTTTTTGAGACGTTCATCATCCTTATACACTGAGAAATCTTCCTTTACCACATGGGTACTGTATATTCTAATGAAAATATTATTTTGATAATTACTATAAACAAGTCATTCTTATCACGTTGCCTATAATTCTTTGAAGTAAGTGGGTCTAGAGTCCTCAAAAAGTGGCCATTATCTTCATAACTTATTGCGCAGTTTACTCCACAAAAAGAAAGACTCCTTTAACTGAAGAACGAAGTAAAATATAAAATGCAGCTGAGTATTTCACGCCATTTGCTAACTTCTGTTTCATTTCGCTTCTACAGACAGCAGTCAATTCATGAATCCTTGAGATTTTCTTCTTGGCTTTTCAATTCGCAGTAAAGGTGGAGATGCTTTATATTTTGTTCATGACCTTGTACTTTGTCATACAACTTTCTTCAGTTATGTTTAATGCCCAGGCTTGGTTTGGTAAGCATTGATTCATGCAGTACCATATTCAAACCTGTCATGATGCAGCAAGAAAAACATCATAATTCCTCGGCTGATGTGGACCAAACAAGCCAATCCCTAAGAACCTCTTCTCAATTTGGCAGCTTCAAACAAAAAATGTGTACTGGAAATCGACATTTTCTTTTGTCATGAGGAAACACTAAAGGATTTTTTGGAGACCGTTTGTAACTATTGTCACTCTTCAGCTTTTAACTCATTCCATTTAACTTGATCATTACATACTCCTGCAATACTTACTGTATGAGATGTGTTCATAGCCTCATTGTCAGTATCATCATTATCTTACAATTTTTCATTTTCATATGATTCATTTGGTGATGGATCACAATGTGAATTACAGTCTCCGCAGTCTTTGTCTGAATGTTAATTGTTGTCAATGGTAATATAGCTTTTTGACAATGGTGTCCATCCAAGTTCCTCTTGTGTTCTTCCACGCTTACAGTTTTTTTCTATTCTTTGTTTCTGCAGCCATCTCTTGGCAGTACCAGAAAGGTAAGTCCTACCAGACATTTTTCTTTCTATATCATGTGCAAAAGTGGCACAGCAATAGTTCAAAAAGTTGTCATGATTAATACATTTTTTTCTCGGAATTTATTGATTTTTGGCACATGATTTGTTTGTACAACAGGCAAGTTGTACATGTATTTATAAAACTTACTAACATTATGACATGATGTAGTGTTGCCTTGCCTAATGTGTATTGTGTACACACCATGCACATAACAGGTCCCAAGCACTGACCAAGTCAACAAAAAATATACTTTACTATTGACAAGAGGGTTGTGGGCCTCCCTTTAATATGGTCCCCAGAGCAAAATGATCATGTGCCCCTCACTATTGTTTGCCCTCCCTCTAAGTTCCAATGACAAGGATCAACATTCACTATTTTTCCAGAGAAATCAGCTAAATTCATTTTCTTCCAATTAGCTTTGTCACCAAATTAGAGCTCCTTCGCACGTATGAAAGTATCAAATGAGGATTTTCGTGATGTTTCAACTTTCTGTAGATTTGGTCATGGAATAGATTGCCTTGTAAACCCTTTACCTGCCTCCATAGCATACAACATTCCACCTAGTGTAATATAAAAGTGTAATGAAATACAAATAAGTGAAATAATTACTCTCATTCTTCCTGCATCGCAACTCTTAAAATTTTGTTGTGGCATCCCTAAGGCTCTTTTCTTATGTAAATCAGGAAGTTCTATAATATTGTCTCAAATAGATGTATCTACTGTAATTATTGTTAAAGTTATTGTTGTGATCTGTACTAAAATCATCGCAAAAATGAAATTAATTATAAATTAGAAGTAGGAAGTTTAGTGACAGATGTCAATCATTACTAAAAATACTCATTTCTGAAAGGTGAGCACAGAGACAGGGAGATCATAATATCATAACATCAGACGTCTTTACATAATTATAATAAAAATAACAAAACATACCACGAACAGCAGAAGAATGGGACATTACGACCATCAGAGATAAAGAAGCGGTTGACGGTGTTGGAAAAGAGGATTCTGAAAAGTTCTCTCCATTCTCTGTTGTGCCAGTAATGATAATAATAATAATAATAATAATAATACAATCATACACTTACATTTCTTTGATGCCACAAACGTCATAATGGAGCGTGCTGACAAATTTTGCTTTCAATACAAAGAACAGTAAAGTGCTCCTCTTCAAGAGAGGCAAAGACATCAAAGTTTAGCATGTGTTCCTTTAAAATATCACTAGAGACAGTAGTGATACTGGCATCTTTCAAAGAAATCCTGTTCCATCCTTATCTCTTGTTTTCCCACTTAATGTGAACACAGGAGAAAACAGAAAATTTTCAATGTGACAGATGGTTATGCACATGCCAATTAGCAACACCATAACGTCACATGTAGGTTCATGTAACTTTGTATCACTCATGTTTAGCAGCCAAAGTGCAACGTGCACGTACAACGCAAATACAAAAAAAAGTGGACAAAGATGCCGCAATTGGCTTCCATAATATCCGTATTGTTGAATTTAATGAAGTCTTTATTGTCCATCTTTTGTCTCTCACTCCCACTCACACTACCAAGGGAGATTGCCTCTGCTTTCAATAGTATTACATCAATTATAAATTTTGTAACTATTATTAGGCAGTGGCTCCTGTATCGTAAATGGTCCCAAAATTTACATGTTAATAGGGCCGTATACAGCTTTGTAACATGATCACATTGGGACACATAACAATATTGAAAAGAACCATAATTATTAAGCTTTAATATTATAATTATTGTAATTCAATAATACAAACTATAAGTACTTAATCAGTTTTGCTGTTCATATCATGATGTCTTTTAACGAAACCAGTACTTTCTTTTTGGTGTTTCTTTCAGTCCCAAACAATGACAGATGATCTATTTGAGGCAATGGTCACAATCAATCAATGGAGCTTTCCCTAAATCTTGAAAGCACACCCTGCACACATTAGGTTGATTTTGTCATTTCATTTTAATAGCTTGGTAAAAAACCAACCATGCGTCATTGGTGCATCATTTTAAATCCATTGAATGTCGACTTTTTCATCATCTAGTAGTTTTTCAGGTGTCAACTCTACATTCTCCTCTTCAATCAGCTGTGTATTACGTTTGAAGACTTCATGAGCAAGCTTCTTACTAACAATTGCAACATTATGTAATAAAGAAATTGAGTAATAATTACACTTCACATGGCTACATAATTTAGGCACTACATTATCATTATGTGTGTCTTCCTTTTTCCGATATAAGCATTGATATAAAAGGCCATAGCTTTTTACGACCTGGGGGCGTAGCCCCCAGGTCGTCCTAAGATTGCTTTCACCCACGTGCGATATATATATATTTGTATGTCAACAATTATTCATTTCTTTTATACACGTTGTATTGGAGAAATACATTTTATATGATGCCTTAGCAACTTCCACCCACGTTAATTAATTAATTTAACGTGAGGGGTGTGGTTAACAAAAGGGAAATGGCTACCATCGTTGGACTGGACAACTATAAGTTTTATGAAGAGTAGTATCTTCCCCCAGCCCCTTTGCTTTGACGGGGCGACGAGACTATATGAAGAGATTCATATTCCTGTAATTCCAGCAATAAAGAGGAATCAGAAGGGCTAAGCTCTGCTCCTATTGAAGATCAATAAAGTAAGACCAAAAATAAATAGTTAAAATTTGACAAAAATGTTACACCATGTTTTCTCACTGGGCTAGGTCATCTAAATGAAATCTGGAGTATCAACTAAAACTGGAGTATCAACTATTTAAAGAAAGATTGCGTAGTGAAGGACACGGCTGAATAGTGCCATGATCCACTATATAGACATGTCAAACTAATAATTATTATTATAACTGTTGAATAAAATAAGTGTTAGATACATGTATATACAGGCTAGTAGTTATATAGTTCACTGGTTATGGTTATTTGTAAGTATTAATTCTATTATATCTAATAATCTGTCCAACTGGTTCATTATACTATTATTGTGTTGTCCCTGCCACCACCACCCTCCTCTTCCTCTCCCTCCCCCTCCTCTCCCTCCCTTTCCTCTCCCTCCCCGCAGCCCCCGGCCCCTTCCTCTTTGGTGATGCCACGGTCTAGCTCCATAAAAGTGACTCTGGAACTGCTGCGGGGCCTGCCATCTGTCTCGCCCTGTCCCGCTGTTAGGATGAATCCCTGGCCTGCCTCCTCTTCCTCTCCCTGGTCTAACTCGCCCGGTACCTCTACGAGGAGACCCATCACCTCTACAACCACCCCTTCTTCCTGCTCCTCTACCCTCTCCCCGTCCTCTCCCCGGTACTGGTCGGCGACCACGAGCTCCACGACTGGTACCACGGTCAGCAGCTATTTCATCTGGACGCCTGTCTTCCCGTTTTGGAGGTGGTGGTCTTATGGGAGGGGAAGGTGGTTGTCTTCTGTGTGGTGGTTCTGTGTCTGAATCATTGCCAGTCTCATCTACTGGTGGTAGCCGATTTGGAGTCCCTGGTTGCGAGTACTGCAGTTCCTCCTATTGAAGATTATGTATATATATAACTTATTTAATTGTAATTATCACGCAATCATTTACATCGTTGTCGTTAAGTAGATCATACTCTTCATTGTCGTCTCCCATTTTAACTTCAATCTTTAGTACTAAATAAATCAGTGAATGGAGCTGTTGTAGTTAATAATTTAGGAGCCAACAATAATAATTAATGTGTCAAGAATTAATTAATAGGTATACAGTCTAGTATATATAGTTCATAAAAATTATCCAATCAAATTATGCCACGCCTTAATTATTATTATTATTAGCCAATAATATAACTAAGCAACCGAAGTAAGACGCTCAGTTTCAAAAATAACTTCAGTTTAGAAGATGGAAACTTCTTACTAAAAACGGTAGCTAAGACGAAGCAAGTTTTACCTTGATGGATGCTTGAATCCACCAATCAACAACAGGCTCACACTACAACGGTATCGTCACATAAGAAGCAAAAGAGGAGAGACATCATAGATTCTTTCTATGGCCCGCCAATAAAGCGTCGTGTATCATTACATGACTTGAGTAATAATAAAAAAAGACGCCTTGAATATTTAAAAGAAAAGCAAAGGGAACATAGATCTAACGAATCTCAAGAAGCTAAGACCAAAAGATTGAGAAAGATGCGGGATTATGCACAGAGGGCTAGATCTATACATAATAAATCAGCAGATCAGAGAGAAGCACGTCTAAGTGATCAAAGACACAGAAGTCAGCGAACAGTTAACAATGAATCAGAGGCTCAAAGACAGGAACGTCTTGCTGACTTAAGTGAAAGATCACAGCAACAATGTGCCAGTGAATCAGAAGCTGAAAAAGAAGAACGTCTCTTAGATCTTCGTGAAAGAGATCATGAAAGAATAGCCTCAGAATCTGAAGAACAAAGAGCTCAACGTAATCAAATAATGAGAGAATATCGTAGAGTTATTGGCTAATCAGGCTCAGCCACCTCCAGCTCCCTCACCAGAAAGTATACGTCAGCAACAACTATCTAGAAAAGACCTTGAAAAGTTTCAGAAAGAAGTACGGCTATCTACAACCAGCATATGCTGTACATGTGAACGCCTGTGCTACCCAAAAGGTGTATCATTGGTTGATGTGAGTAAAGTACATGATGTATTACAA